CAGACTTTTTTTCAACAAACATTGCCAGAGCAATTGCATACAAATACACAAAAAGATGAACTTTGACTTAAACCTCACATCCAATACAAAAACTAACTTAAAGTGAATCTTAAGTGTAAAACATAAATTTATGCAAATTTGTTTTTAAAAAAGGAAAAGAATCTTTGGGATGTAATACTACGCAAAGGGTACTTAGACTCAATATCAAAAACAAGACCCATAACAAAAAAAAAGATAAATTAGGGCACTTCAAAATTAAAAATCTTTACCTTGTGAAAGACCCTGTTAAGATGATGAAAAGACAAGCTAAAGACTGAGAGAAAATACTTTCAAACCACAAATCCACCAATAATTTATACCTATATACACCAAGAACTCTCAAAAACAGTAACCAAATAATCTGATTAAAAATTGGAACAGATTGGGGCACCCGGGTGGCTCAGTCCATTGAGCATCTGACTTCTGCTCAGGTCATGATCTCATGGTTTGTGAGTTTGAGCCCCGCTTCGGGCTCTGTGCTGACAGCTCGGGGCCTGGAGCCTGCTTCAGATTCTGCGTCTCCCTCTCTATCTGTTCCTCCCCCGCTCACACTCTCTCTCTCTAAAATAAATAAAAATTAAAAAAAATATTTTAAGAGGGGCGCCTGGGTGGCGCAGTCGGTTAAGTGTCCGACTTCAGCCAGGTCATGATCTCACGGTCTGTGAGTTCGAGCCCGCGTCAGGCTCTGGGCTGATGGCCCAGAGCCTGGAGCCTGTTTCCGATTCTGCGTCTCCCTCTCTCTCTGCCCCTCCCCCATTCATGCTCTGTCTCTCTCTGTCCCAAAAATAAATAAACGTTGAAAAAAAAATTTTTTTTAAGAAAATTGGAACAGATGGGGTGCCTGGGTGGTTCAGTCAGTTGAGCATCCAACTTCAGCTCAGGTCATGATCTCGTGGTGGGTTCAAGCCCCAAGTCAGGCTTTGTGGTGACAGCATGGAGTCTGCTTCAGATTCTCTGTCTCCTCTCTCTCTTCCCGTCCCCTGCTCCCTCTCTCTCAAAATAAATAAATATTTTAAAAGTTTATTTAAAAAGAAAAGAAAATTGGAACAGACATGAATAGATTTTACAAAAAGAGTATACAGATGGCAAATATGCACATGAAAAGATGTTCAATATCACTTGCCATTAGAGAAATGCAAAAAAAAAAAAAAACCACAATGATATGGTACTATATACATCTATCAGAATGGCTAAAATAAAAAATAATGGTAACATCAAATGCTGGTGAGAATGTGGAGAAACTGGATCACACATACATTGTCTGTGAGATTGTAAAATGGCAATAACTCTGGAAAATATACCAGTGTTTTACAAAATTATACATGCAGTCATCATGTGACCCAGCAGTTGCACACTTAGGCATACACATAAAAACCTGTACAAAAATGGTCATAGCAGCTTTAACCATAATTACCAAAATCTGGAAATAACTCATATGTCCTACAAAGGATGAATAGTTAAACAAATTTTATATATGTATATATATATATATATATACATATATATATATATATGTATATTTTAATTCAAATCCAAGCTAGTTATCATATAGTGTAGTAATGGTTTCAGGAGTAGAATTTAATGATTCATCACTTACATATAACACCCAGCACTCATCCCAGCAAGTGCCCTTCTTTTTTTTTTTTTTAATTTTTGTTTTTCAACGTTTATTTATTTTTGGGACAGAGAGAGACAGAGCATGAACGGGGGAGGGGCAGAGAGAGACGGAGACACAGAATCGGAAACAGGCTCCAGGCTCTGAGCCATCAGCCCAGAGCCTGACGCAGGGCTCGAACTCACGGACCGCGAGATCGTGACCTGGCTGAAGTCGGACGCTTAACCGACTGCGCCACCCAGGCGCCCCGCAAGTGCCCTTCTTAATGCCCATCAACCATTTAACCCATCCCTCCACCCAACACCCTTCCATCAATCCTCAGTTTGTTCTCTGTATTTAAGAGTCTCTTATGGTTTGCCTCCCTCTCTGTTTTTATCTTATTTTTCCTTCCCTTTCCCTATGTTCATCTGTTTTGTTTCTTAAATTCCACATATGAGTGAAATCACATGATGTTTATCTTTCTCTGACTTATTTCATTTAGCATAATACACTTTAGTTCCATCCAAAACTGTGGTATATTTACATCATGGAACACCACTTGGCAATAAAAAAGAATGAAATATTGAGACATACAACAACTTAGATAAATATTGAGGAATAGTCTAAGTGAAAACCCCACTGTTTTTCACTATAAAAAAGTATCAGAAGAGATTCTTGGGATGGAACAGCTGTGTATCTTGATTGTGTTGGTGGTCACACAAATCTGCACATGTGATAAAATCATATGGAACTAAATGCACACACACACACACACACACACACACACACACACACAAAACACACAAATGAGAGTATTTATAACTAGTTAAGTCTAAATAAAGTCACTGATTTGTACCAGTGTAAATTTCCTGGTTATAATATTGTACCATAGTCATATAAGATGTTTCTCTTGGGGGAAACCAGGTAAAGGGTACACAGGATCTCTCTGTAATATTTTCTATAAACACATGTGAGTGTAGAATTATCTCAAAATTGAGCTTAAAAACAAAGCTTCAAAAGAATCAGACTGATATGTAAGTAAATTAACTGACTGCCAAAAGAAAACACTCTAATAGAAACAACAAAATCTAGACTCACAACAACATAGCATCCATTATGTAGAGTATGCATTAAAAATTACTAGGCATAAAGAAAAGCAGGAAAGTATAAACTATCCCAAAGAAAAAATCAATCAACAGAAACTGACAAAGAAATGACTGAGATGATAAAATGAGCAGACAAGGATTTTATAACAGTTATTATAAACATGGTCAAAGATTTAAGGAAAACATTTGCATAATTAAGGGAAAATAGGACATCTCAAAATAGAAAAGTGTTAAAAAGAAACCAAAAGATATTCTACAACTAGAAGAGTAAAGTAAAATGAAAATTTTATGGAATGGACCCGATAGCAGATTAGACTCTGCTGAAGAGAAGACAAGTAAACATGAAGACATGGAATAGAAATGATCCTAAGAAAATACAGAGAGGAAAAACAGTTGAAAAAACTGAACAGAGACTCAATAGTCTATGAGATAACATAAATGGCTAACATGTGTAAGTGGGGAGGAAAGAGACATTGGCACAGAAAAATAAATTTTTTCAAGATAATGGGAGTTTTGTTTTTCCAAATTTTATGAAAAACATTAACTGGTAGATCCAAGATCAATGTAGCAAAGTAGGACAAGGTGGGGGGGGGGGAAGCATGTTGTAATCAGATTTCTGAAAACCAGATAATGAGAAAATCTTCAGGGATTTTCAGTATCCAAAAAAAAAAAAAAGACACATTATATTCAAGGTCAGTAGGAATTACCACTTGCTTCTCAAGAGAAAAACTACAAGTCAGAAAACAATTAAATGAATAATATTTTAGTACTGAGAGAAAAAGACTATCTAAAATTCTATATCTAGAAAAATAATGATCAAAAATAAAGATATTTTCAGAAATGCAAAAGCAGAGAAAATTTGTCATCAACACACTTTCCAGTTGTATATTACTTGGTAGCAAGCTATCATGAAACTTGGTGGCTTGCAACAGCAAGCATTTTACTATATTGTACAATATTGTGAGTTGGAGATTTGTGCAGGACATGGTTGGGTGAACCTTTTCCTTGTGGTATCAGGTTCATTCAATATATTCACTTACATATCTGGCTCTATATGCATGGTACATATCTAGCACATTGGCAGAGACGGCTAGAGGCCAGTCTTGGCAGAGACTGTAGACCAAAGAGCCTACATGCAGCCTCACCAACATGGGGCCTCAGAGTACAGACTTCTTACCTACTGGCTGTAAGAGCAAGAGTTCTAGCAAATGAGACCGAATCTACATGGTCTTTTACAACCTAAACCCAGAAGTCACAAAGCATTACTTCTGTGATACTCTATTAGTTGAAGCAATCATAAGCTTAGGCATTTCAAAGGGAAAGAACACAGACCATTAGACAGGAGGAATGCCAAAGAATTTGTGGAAATGATTTTAAATTGCCACACTCTACCCTCTGGCCAACAATGTTTATATTTCTCCCTCATGAAATATATATTTGCCCCTTCTCCAGACTGCTTTAAAGTCTCATTCCATTATGCATCAAGCTCAAGTTGGAAGTCCAGGATCTTATCATCTAAATCAAGTCCAGGCATGGATGAGGCTCCATGCGGTTTCCTGAGATCAGTTCTTGATCTGGAAACCTGCAAACTAAAGAGACAGGTTATCTGCCCCACACATACCCAAAATACAGTGGTGTGACAGACACAGAACAACTGTAATAAATAAATACCCATTTAATAAAGGAAGAACATAGAAAGTCACCAATCCATTGAAATTATAAAATCCAACTGGGCATATGTTACCAGCTCATGATTAGGGCCTTATCCTGGTTCCGGGGAATGATTTTCCATGATTTTTGCTTCTTACCCCTGAGATCTTAGTTTTGCCCTCTAAGTCATTCTTTCTTTTCCATAGAACTAACCAATTTCTGTAGCTGAGTAGTCTATGCAGCCTGCTTCCTGTCCACAGAAGTTTAAGGGTCCAAGTCTCCATTTTGTACAGACTCTCTGTGGTTTTTCTTCCTGTATAAGCTGATATTATTACTATAAAAACTTTGTGGATTTTTTGAGTATCAATTTACAATCTACTCCATTAGATTAAAAACCCACATCTACAGACATCTTCTAGATAAGCCATTTTCTACCTTGAGCTCCTTATGAGGCTACTGTGGTATAATACCTTTAAGATTCTTAGAAGCCTTATTGTTTAGGAGAGAGAGTCTGTACTACAACCCCTTAAGAAATAGCTCAAAATTCTTTTTACAAGGCTTTATCTCTTTCTGAACTCATAACAAAAGGCTTTACAGTCCTTCATCTTTACCTTGAGTCCATGATTTTCTAACAGGGCCTTGAATTTAATCTTTGTTCTATGGCTCTATCTTCCTTTGAGTATCTTCTGCTGAGAGAAACTAAGGATAAGAAATAGTTTCATTTTCAGACCTCATTCCTACATAGTTTCTCTAAATTGTTGAGAGCCAAATAATTCCTTATTTAGTACAGCTTTGTCTATCCATACCTTACGATACATAATTTAAAAACAAATAAATAAAATACAGTATATACTTTCAGAATTCTGCCTGGAAATCTCCTAAGCCAAATACATTGGTTCATTAAATACGTTTTATGATTTCCCATGTTATGACAGTTGCTAAACCATCTACCATGACAGAACAAGATCCTCCTTTTCTCTAGCTTTCAACAATATTTTCCTTATTCTCCTTTAAACTCTCATTGACATCCTCCTCCATGCCTGTCAGTATCCCACTAACAGTCTTCTCAAACCCCTGTCAGCTTCTGCTTCATGTCTTGTGCCAAAGCCAGTGCCACACTTCAGGTTTTTGCTACAACAGCACTCCAAATTCTGTTCCATTCATCTAATACTATACAACTACTCCAAAAAATAGTTGCTTAAAAAAAATGATTTTATTATATATGGTGATTAAGAGAATCAGGAATTTGGGCAAGTTTCAGCTAGGTGGTCTTTATATTCCTTGTGGCATCAAGGGAAGTCACTTGGAGGTATTCACCTGGTTAATGAGAAGTTTGCAGGGTTCAAGGCAGTTTGTTTCATTCACATATCTGGCACCATGGCAGGGATGACTAGACCGCTGGGCTCAGTTGGCTCTGTTGACCAGAATGTGGCCTCTTCAGCATGATGATCTTCTGTCATGGTGGCTCAAGGCTCTAAGAGCAAGTGTTCAAGTGAACAAAGCAGAAACTTCACAGTCTTTTATGACCTAGCCTCAGAGGTCATAGTGTTTCATTACTGCTGTTCTGTGTAGGTCAAAGAAATCACTAGCCTAACCAGATTCAATAGGAGGGAATAAAGATTCATTATCTTGGTTGAAAAAAATGTCAAAGAACGTGCATCCATTTTTAAAAACAAACATAGCAGATATGCACTACAGAAAATATTCAAGGAAGTTCTGCTGGCTGCAGTGAAATGATACCAGATAGAAACTTAGATCTATAGAAAAGAATGAAGAGCATCAGAAATGGCAAACATGTAGGTAAATAAAAAGGAATTTTTTTATTATTTCCTAAGTTCCCATGTAAACATATACATGCAGTAAAAATATACAACAAGCACAAAACAAAAGACAGAAGTAAATGGATCTGACCTATGCAATTACAGAATTACCTCATTTTATTAACCAGCATGGAAATTATCAATACTGTTAACCAATGAAACAAGGGAGATAGAAAGGTGGCACTCATAAAGAATATAATAGTAAAAGTATTGCAACATGTCACAATGTCACAGGGAGGAAAAAAACAATATGGAGGTGTTTACTTCCCCAGGTCTCTCCTTGAAGGGTCACCATGGGCCAGCTGTGTCTGTAAGATGACCTCTCCAGATAGGCTCTCTGTCTCCAAGTTCAAATATCAAAGTCATCCTCTCTCTTGCCTTTTCAGGCACTCTTACTCTCCCAGGGTACTCATTTCATTACCCTTCTGGAACTATTTTAATATCTACCAACTAAGTTCATAGATTCAAAGCAAAAATTCAACTTTTGGAAAAGCGATATTAAAAATAATTTACTACTGGTGCGCCTGGGTGGCTCAGTCGGTTAAGAGTCTGACTTCGGCTCAGGTCATGATCTCATAGACCATGAGTTCGAGTCCCACGTCAGGCTCTGTACTGACAGCTCAGAGCCTGGAGCCTGTTTCGGATTCTGTGTCTCCCTCCCCTACTCGTGCTCTGTCTCTCTCTCAAAAATAAATATTTTTTTTTAATTAAAAATAAATAAATAAATAAATAAATAAATAAATAGTAGTTTACTACTCCCAAAAAACAAGTGACCAGGGCCAGATAGATTTCCAGGGGAATTCTACCAAACATATAAAGAAGAGTTAACACCTATTCTCTTGAAGTTATTCCAAAAAATAGAAATGGAAGAAAAACTTCCAAACTCTTTCTATGAAGCCAGCATTACCTTGATTCCAAAACCAGACAAAGACCTTACTGAAAAGGAGAACTATAGACCAATTTCCCTGATGAAGATAGATGTAAAAATGCTCAACAATATATTAGCCAAACACATCCAACAATACATTAAAAAAATTATTCACCACGACCAAGTGGGATTTATACCTGGGATGCAGGGCTGGTTTAATATCTGCAAAACAATTAATGTGATTCATCACATCAATAAAAGAAAGGACAAGAACCACATGATCCTCTCAATAGATGCAAAGAAAGCATTTGACAAAAATACAGCATCCTTTCTTGATAAAAACCCTCAAGAAAGTAAGGATTGAAGGATCATACTGCAAGATCATAAAAGCCATATATGAAAGACCCAACGCTAATATCATCCTCAATGGAGAAAAACTGAAAGCTTTCCCCCTAAGGTGAGGAACAAGACAGGATGTCCATTCTAGCCACTGTTATTCAACATAGTATTGGAAGTCTTAGTCTCAGAAATCAGACAATACAAAGAAATAAAAGGCATCCAAATTGACCAGGAGGAGGTCAAACTTTCACTCTTCGCAGATGACATGATACTCTATATAGAAAACGCAAAAGATTCCACCAAAAAACTGATAGAACTGATTCATGAATTCAGCAAAGTTGCAAGATATAAAATCAATGCACAGAAATTGGCTGCATTCCTATATACCAACAATGAAGCAACAGAAAGAGAAATCAAGGAATTGATCCCATTTATAATTGCACCAAAAACCATAAAATACCTAGAATAAATCTAACCAAAGAGGTGAAAAATCTATACACTGAAAACTATAGAAAACTTACAAAAGAAATTGAAGAAGACACAAGAAAAATGTAAAAATATTCCATGCTCCTGGATAGGAAGAACAAGTATTGTTAAAATGTTAATACTACCCAAAGCAATCTACAAATTCAATGCAATACGTATCAAAATAACACCAGCATTCTTCACAGAGCTAAAACAAACAATCCTAAAATCTGTATGGAACCAGAAAAGACTCTGAATAGCCAAAGAAATCTTGAAAAAGAAAACCAAAGCAGGAGGCATCACAATCCCAGACTTCAAGCTGTGTTACAAAGCTGTAAGCATCATGACAGTATGGTACTGGCACAAAAACAGACACTCAGATCAATGGAACAGAATAGAAAACCCAGAAATGGACCCACAAACGTATGGCCAACTAGTCTTTGACAAAGCAGAAAAGAATATCCAATGGAATAAAGACAGTCTCTTCAGCAAGTGGTGCTGGGAAAACTGGAGAGCAACATGCAGAAAAATGAACCTGGGCCACTTTCTTACACCATACACACAAATAAACTCAAAATGGATGAAAGACCTAAATGTAAGACAGGAAGCCATCAAAATCCTCGAGGAGAAAGCAGGCAAAAACCTCTTTGATCTTGCCCACAGCAACTTCTTACTCAACACATCTCCAAAGACAAGGGAAACAAAAGCAAAAATGAACTATTGGGACCTCATCAAAATAAAAAGCTTCTGCACAGCGAAGGAAACAATCAGCAAAACTAAAAGGCAACTGATGAAATGGCAACAGATATTTGCAAACAACATATCAGAAAAAGGGTTAGTATCCAAAATCTATAAAGAACTTATCAAACTCAGCACCCAAAAAAACCAAACAATCCAGTGAAGAAATGGGCAAAAAACATGAGTAGACACTTCTCCAAAGAAGACATCCAGATGGCCAACCAACACATGAAAAAATGTTCAACATCACTCATCATCAGGGAAATACAAATCAAAACCACAATGAGATACCACCTCACACCTGTCAAAATGGCTAAAATTAACAACTCAGGCAACAAGAGATGTTGGTGAGGATGCGGAGAAAGAGGATCTCTTTTGTATTGCTGGTGGGAATGCAAACTGGTGCAGTCACTCTGGAACACAGTATGGAGGTTCCTCAAAAAATTAAAAATAGAACTACCCTATGACCCAGCAGTTGTACTATTAGGTATTTATCCTAATAAATATGCTGTTTTGAAGGGGCACATGCACCCCAATATTTATAGCAGCACTATCAACAATAGCAAAAGTATGGAAAGAGCCCAAATGTCCATCGATGGATGAATGGATAAAGAAGATGTGGTGTATATATACAATGGAGTATTACTCAGCAATCAAAAAGAATGAAATCTTGACATTTGCAACTACATGGATGGAACTAGAAGGTACTATGCCAAGCAAAATTAGTAAGTCAGAGAAAGACAAAAATCTTATGACTTCATTCACATGAGGACTTTAAGACACAGAACAGAGGAACACAAGGGAAGGGAAACAAAAATAATATAAAAACAGGGAGGAGGACAATACATAAGAGACTCTTAAATATGGAGAACAAACAGAGGGTTACTGGAGGGCTTGTAGTGGGGGAAGGGCTAAATGGGTAAGGGGCATTAAGGAATCTACTCTTGAAATCATTGTTGCACTATATGCTAACTAACTTGGATGTAAATTTAAAAAAATAAACAAAAATGAAAATAAATATAGTTTACTACTAATAATTAGAATCCTAGGTAATACTTATTAAGATGAGATGTGTATGTTTAAGGGGAAACATTATTATTATTTTGAGGTAATTGATATGAAAAATGTGAATAGATTGTAAATCCACTGTCATTATCATAACGAATTTCAACCTTATACTTGTCAGTGAAAGAACAAGTAGAGTACAATTTTAAAATACCAAATTATCTGAATTCTGACTGATGAAAAATAAAAGATGTTCAATAAATTAAAAAAAATAAATTATCTTCTGCCATTTGTCATCACCTACTTATGTGTACAAAGACTGGGTAGACTTCTGATGTTAGGTCATAAAAGGCCACGTAAGGTCTGCCTTGTTCACCGAAACACTTGCTCTTACATCCCTAAGCCATCAAGTGAGAAGACAACATGCTGGAGAAGCCACAATACTGCTCAGCAGAGCCAGCTGAACCCAGCCTTCTTCTGTCAACAGTAACTATCAAGAATCTGAGAATATCATTATTAATAGGTCTTGAAAGGGGATTGTGTATAGTCATTTCAAGCATAAGCCCTATGTTAATAAATCATGATCATGATTACTCACTGCAGGTGGCAGAGTTTAGAAAACTGTTTAACAGTGTCTATTAAAGTTGAACATATGCATTCCCTATAATTTCACTCCTACATGTATTTCCAACAGAAATGTATGTGTATGTTACATATATAAGCACCAAAAGACATGTACTAGAATTTCAAATCAGAACTTCTCAGATTAGCCAAAACTGGAAACTACCCAAACGTGTATTGACAATAAATTGGATAAATAAATTATGTGCTATTGACAAAATAGAATACTAAACAACAATAACAATCTATCATGGAACAACATGAATGAATCTCACAATGTTGAAATAAGCTAGATGCAAAAGAATACATATTGTATGGTTCCATTTACATAAATTACAAAAACAGGCAACATGAAGCTATGGTGTTAGAAATCAGGATAGTGGTTACCTTTTAGGCAGGCAGCAGGTAATGATAGGAAGGCAAGGTTGGAGCACTGTATTGTTCTGCTTCTTGATCAGGGAGCTGGTTAGGTAAGTGTGGTAGTTTAAAAACATATCCAATGACACTTTGACACTCCTACCATTAGAAGGTGAAGTACAATTTCCTCCTCTTTTATATGGGCTGGTCTTAGTGACTCACCTCCAGCAAACAGAATACACGGGAACTGACATTGCATGATTTCTAATGCTGTGTTAGAAAAGGCACTAGAGCTTCCACCTGGCCCTCTTTCTTGGGATGCTCACCCTTGCTACCCAGCCACCATGCTATGAAAACATCAAAGAATTGCATGGAAAGGCTCTTTGAAGGTGCTCTGGTCACAGACATACCTAAGGTCACAGCTAACAGGTAGCAACAACAGCTAAACATGTAAGTAAAGGAACCTTCAGATGATTCCAGTCCCCAGTCTTCAAGTTAACCTACCAAGCCTTGCCCAAATTACAAATTCATAAGCAAAATAAATATTGCTATTTTAAGCCACTAAGTTTAGCAGTAATTTGTTATGCAAATATATGCAACTGGAACACACAACAGGTGTGCTCACCTTGTAAAAATTCATCAAGCTACACAGTTATGAAATATATACTTTTCCTTATTATTATTATTATTATAAAGTTTGAATAAAGGTTTGAAATAAAAATCTTATCATGGATACAAGCTAAAGTTCCTCATCACATTTTTAAATAGGTTTCATTGAGAAGTTTTATATAAATTCAAAGTTTTATATCTTCCTAATATTTTTGCCCTTCCCTGCAATTACATAATATAAAGAAAATGTGATGCATTTTTCTCACCACGTCCAATATAGACACCTCCTAATCTCCATCAATTTACCCTTGTACACTGCCCAATTCTGATCATTTATCATGAATGAACGTAAAAAAAGTTGGGAAGCACTGCTATAGCAAATATCTGCCCAGCACCATTCCCTCTTCTTTTGTTAATAGGATCTTACTGTCCTTTGGGGAACTCCCTGCCTTCTGATCAATCAAGTTAGCTGAGACCTAATTGTTCAACTTTTCCTTTAATTCTATTATTCCTCACATCCTTCCAATAAATTTCTATTTTATTCAAGTTGGCAATATTTGGTCTCTAGTTTCTGCAACCAAAGACCTCTTACTGATACATATCTCCAGTGCTAGCACACTGTCTGACATATAGTTGACAATGAAAATATATGAAATAAAATGTTTATAAAATGATATTGAACAACTGATTTTTGACAAAAGCACAAAGACAGCACAGTGGAAAAAGAATAGCCTTTTAAGATACATTGCTGGAACAACTGGGTATCCATACGTAACAAATATGAACCTGAATCCATGCCTTAAACCATAAAAAATTTTAACTCAAAATACATCACAGACTTAAATATACAGCCTAAACTGTAAAACTGCTAGAATAAAACATAGTAGAAGGTCCTTGTGAGCTTAGGGTAGGTAAATATTTCTTAGAAATGACACTAAAAGCACAATCCATAAAAGAACAGATTGGACTTTATTAAAATTTAAAACTTCTGCTCTTTAAAATTCTTCTGTTGAGAATGAAAAGACAAGGCACATACCACAATAAAATCTTTCCAAAGCATTTTTCTGATAAAGAACTTGTATCCAGAGTATATAAAGAACTCTCAAGACTGTAACCACCCAATTTTTTTTTTTTTTTTTTTTTTTGAGCCCTGTGTCCGGCTCTCTGCTGTCAGCACAGAGCCCACTTTGGATCCTCTGTCCCCCTCTCTCTGCCCCTCCCCTGCTTTCTCTCTCTGTCTCTCAAAAATAAACATTAAAAATATTTTTAAAAGATGTTCAACATCATTAGGAAAACACATATTAAAACCACAACAAGATGCCACTACACACCTATTAGTATAGCTAAAATTAAAATCTGCTTGTAGATTTTTACCCAAGAAAAAAGGAAAGATCTGTCCACTCAAAGACTTGTACACAAATGTTCATAGCAGCTTTATTAGTAATAGCTCAAAACTAGACATAGCCCAAATGTCCACCAACAGATGAGCAGATAAGGTACACTACATCCATATAATAGAATACACTCAGCAATAAAAAAGGAATGAACTGTTGGTACACAGAACAACATGGACAAATGTCTAGACAATGATACTGAGTAAAAGAGATCAGACCAAAAAAAAAAAAAAACCTTCCTGATTCTACTTACATAAATTTTTAGAAAATGCAAATGAGTTCTACAATGACATAAAGTAGATCAGTGGTTGCTTACGTGTGGGAGGCAGGGAGGAATGCGAAGAAAAAATTCCAAAGAGGCATGAAGAAACTTGAGGATGATGGATATACTCACTCGACTAGATGATGGGGTATGTATATACGTTAAAGTTCATAAAATTACATACTTTAAATATGTACCACATATTACATGTCAATTATACCTCAATAAAGCTGTCTTTAAAAAAAAAAACCCTGCAACTCAGCTGTCAGATTTTAAAGGAGCAGAAAGGAAACAGAATGGAAATCTCAGTAAAAGGCCTCAGGTAGGTTTGTGAAGCTAAGGCTCAGCAGAGTTTAATGAGCCATCTCTCTGCTATTCTCCAGAAACTGTGACAACCACCACTATTGGGTTCTGCTTTCAGGAAGAGAATAACCCAATCAGTATAAAATGAATTCCGTGTCTTGTGAGAGATTGCCAATTGAACATATAATCTACATTTACAAACATTTTTAAAGAATGTTCTACTTACAGCATAGTTATAATATCGAGAGTAAATGTTTTGCTATAAATACCAATACAGACATACGAATTATTTAATCTCTCAGAGCCTCTCATTTCATCTATGAAATGCCACAAGAAATAAGAAAAACAGGGAAACTAAAAAGAGCAGACTGTGCCAGAATTATTAATTCTTCCTTTGAGGGAAGAGCCTCTTTCCTCCCCCTGTGTTCTGAGAAATGTCCATTTCCTCCCATCACCCTGTGCAGTAATTTTATGTTGAGTAAGTCAAGTTTCTCTCCTACTTACCATTCTTCTATCACTAGAATGCTTGAGAGAGGTCCACTAGGAAGGTCCCTGTCATACCCTTGACTAGTCTAGAAGGGATCCAACCTCCACCAGACTCAACTGTGACTAAGGACGACAATGATGTGTTGGACTGGATTTGAGCTGTCTGTATTGTATGTTCTGGAGGTTGGGTTTCACTTTCCAGACAATCATTATTTGTTAAACAGTTGGTTGGGGAATATCTCCACAGCATTTGCATTTATAATAGCAGGTAAAGGTAATTTTTCAGGGTGGCCTGTGTTCTCCAGGAGCTAAGTCACATGAGCTTTGATTTTTTTAAGGGAGGACACAAGAACCAGGGTTTACTGAACAGGAATAGTGGTTGAGCCCACAGACTCTAGCATTAAGCAGCTCTGGCATCAATTCCCAGCTGTCACTTAATGTGTGATAATTTATCATTTCCAAACTTCATTTTTTTCATCTCTACAGTGGGACTAAAACTATCTAATTTCTATCAATTTTTATTAGCTTCCATTGTAAATTACAGCACCCCGCCAATTATTACCTCGACACTAAAAAGGGCAGTAAACATTAACACCAATTCAACTTTTCCTAACTATATACTTACATCAAAAGCTTGTATAATTATAATTTTCTGAGAAAATAAAGCTTTCCCCTTCTGAATTAGGAATTTAAGATGACAAGACCCAGAAGCAAACTAAAATCAATGTCCTAAAAATGATACAAACCTCAAAAAGCCAGGCAGGTTTGCCAACAAAGCTCCGCCTCCATGCAAACCCTGCCCACTTCCGGCTGCCCCACCCACCCTCTAACACTGTAGCACCTCCCCTCACTGCAAGGTCCCGCCCCCCGCACCTGATCTTGGTTCCCATTGGGCAAATCTGGATGCTGTGTACACACGCGACACACGCACGTTTGGCGAGGGCGTCTTCGCGCCTGCGCAGCAGCGCCGTCAGGCGGCTGGGAACTAGGGGCTGGGGGGAGGGGGGCCGAGGTCAGGCCGAATCTTCCTCCGTAATAAGAAGCTCCGCGTCCTGCGGTCCTGGCTCCGTGGGTCCGGTCGGATCCGGCCTGGGCGCTGGATCTGCTGTGGCTCCCTCCGCGGCGGGTGCGATGGAGGCCGTGCCAGAGCCCAGCACTCACGCCGGGGAGGCCCAGACAGCGGGCGGTGCTAGTAGATGAGGCGGCGGCGGCGGCTGCAGCACGGGCTCTCCATGAGCAAGCGGCGGCGACGACGGGTGCGGCAGCACCGGCGGTTTTCGGTCCCCGGGGAGGTACGAGAAGTCGGCTTCCTGGTGGACGGAGACTGGCCGGTGTGGGAACGCCTTCCGCGGCCCGGACCTCCCGCCAGTGCCCGCAGTCCCAGGCGCTTAGGGGAACACTGCCTGACCGTGGGCAGGGGCGCCGAGCCGTATCACCTGCTCCTGGCTCAGGGACCTGCCAGCCCTGCGGGACCAGCCCTCGGTGCCAGGCCTTCGCCTGCGCGGAGGGCCGGGGGCGGCGTAGGCGTGTCCGAAGCGCGGGGGACGGAGGCGGGCGCCCACCGCGCGCCCAGCGGGTCCCTGCCCAGAGCCCCGCGCTGCTTCAAGGGGGAGCGCGTGGCCGTTTTTCTGATTATTTCGGGGTGCTGATTCGAGAGGGGACCCTTAGGACCGCCGAGCTCTTAGGGAATCCGGCATTCAGTAGCTAGGGCGAGTGGTCTGATCGTCACGATCAGCGTGGAGTACAGATTGTCACCCTTGAAAATGACCCCAAAAGAAAGGTGTCGTTTTGCCAAGGAAAAAGGTCGGGGGAGTTTTCCAGGTTTATTTAAACTGGAGGGCCTGTTGAATCAGGACGATAATGCCAGCAGGATATGTCCTCCAGGGCTTCTAATACGGTGCCTAAGGAAACCGTCTTTGACGATGTGGAGAAATCTCAAGACAATTTTAAGTAAAGCTCTTTGCAGCCATTTCTCCGCCTTTTCTGCTCATTTTTGTTGTAACTTACTTTGTAACAAATCACCACGTTAATGCTGAAAGGATTAAGTGTCCTCTAGTTCTTCCAAGCCTCTCTACCCTGCACTTTCCCTCCCCGCAGAAAAAGGCTAGAGAAGTTAATTTCGTTACACATACATACATATATATATATGTAAAAGTGTAGTTTAATTCTCTTAAGTATAACAATTGCTGTAAATATTACTTATTTGGTCATGTCTAAAAGATAATTTGAAGAAAAACGTTTATGACTCCTTCACAATTTAACATTTGGGAATCAGAACTCAGGCTTAGACCTTGCTACAAAGTTCTTAAAACTTAAACAGAAATAAATGAAACCATGAAGGAAGTCATTTTCATTTTTAAAGTTTTGAATGCCATATATGTATTTTTTTAACCTGCTCGGGAAACATGTTAGTGTTTGTGTTTGCCTAAGGCTCCAGATTTACCACGCCCTCTTATTCCTAAATGGTTGTCTAGAGCCAACAACATGTTACCAACTGTGTAAAGTTCTACACTTAAGACTAAATATAGTGTTGAATATTTTGTAGTCCACAGCATCTTGCCTCAAGCCGAAAATACTGTGCCCGTGCATGTGTGCCTGCATTTAATATATTGTAGAACTGAATTTTTAGTCTGCTAGTATTGTAAATTTGGTTGGAATTTAATTTAAGTGTAAAACAGATTTTTTTAATTGAAGTATAGTTGACACAGTGTTACATTGGTTTTAGGTGTACAACAGTGATTCAACAACTCTATGCTATGTGAACTTAATTTCTTACACAAATAAAACACATAGGTCTGCAGTATTGAGTATTGGATTTATGTTGTGCTTGGGAGTATGTGTGTGGCACTTGAAAAGTCAAAATAAGACATTGACCTCAGTCATGAATTGGTCTCTTCCTATTCTTCAGATGCTTTCCTTTTTCATGGAAATATGCTTTTCCATAAAAGTAACATTGAGAAACCCTATGATATTTTTAGTTTAGATATTTACTGTCCCAAGTAAAGCAGTATTTTCAGTTCAGTTTCATTAGGACCTCATTCTTTAACTTTTTAAAACTTTGCTTTATATAATGACACAAACATGTTTATAGAATACTGGCAAAGACCTTAAAAACAAAATGTTTAGCTAACCCCAAGGTTAGGGGAAGGATAAATAACAGTTTAAGTAGGGTGGACGTCCCTGTTAATTCCCAAAACGAACGGAGAGGAGAATCAGATTACTTACCAAGTTCTAAGTTAGATCTTCATAGCATGGTCTCTGCAGTTAGGATTATAGGGTATCCAGCATGGTCCTAAATTGCAAGTGAAAATCCCAAAGTGCATAGAAATGATTTTTGTATCAGCTGTGGCAATGATTCAGTTAAGTACTGTGGATTACTTTTCATATGAGGTCTCAGATAATTGGCCATTCTGTAGCTGAACTAAGAATTCCATTATAGCAATTTCATAAGTGCAACCATGCATATTAAAAAGGAAATGAAGCACAGCTTGTATTTTGAAGGGAGGAGAAAGAGGTTTACATTAGGAATACACCCACCCAAATTTAGATTGCATCTTCAAAAGCTCTGTTTTCATTTAGGACTTATTTATTTCAGGGTCTTCCTATAGCAAAGATAAAATCTGCAGTATAATTAGTGTAAAAGTCTATCACGTGCTCATCCTATACCTCAAAAAAGATCGCGCTTCTAAATGGTCTTTCCAGAGACCATGCATATTGCCAATATGGCAATTCTGAGCCAATTCTGGCTCAGCTAGAATTGTTTTAAATTTTTTCATTATATTGGTAGGCCTTCTAACCAAATTTAATTTGAATTTTTTTTAAGATTTTATTTTTAAATAATCTCTGTACCCGACGTGAGGGTTGAATTTACAGTTGGAAGATCAGGAGTGGTATGCTGTACTGACTGAGCCAGTCAGGCACACCTAATTTGAATGTTTAGACAAGTTTGTTTTGATTTGAACACATCTCAAAAATTTAACATATAAAGTCACAAATTTACATGTTCTATTTTTAAACTTTTGAAATGCAGGATGAAGACACTGTTTGAAGAGATCAAAGCATCAATTAAAAATAACTATAACCAAGATCGCTCATTTTGGAGGCCTGTTCTTCCTTGGGGAGGTGTTTTTACTATCAAAGCTGGCCGCAAAGCAGTATCCTGTACGCCACTTTATGTTGAAATAAGACTGAAAAATACCTGCACCATAGATGGATTCTTGATGTTACTATATGTCATTCTTAATGAAAATGAAAATTTCCCCAGGGAGCTCTCTCTTCATTTAGGTAGAGAGTTTGTAGACTGTTTCCTTTACTTAATGGACACCTACAGTTTCACAACTGTGAAGCTACTTTGGATTTGGGACAAGATGGAAAAACAGCAATACAAATCTGAAGTTCATAAAGCTTCATTAATAATTGATTTATTTGGTAATGAGCATGATAATTTTACAAAAAATCTTGAAAATCTCATGTCTACCATACAAGAGAGTTACTGTTCCAACTGGCGATGCCCAACTCGAGTACAGGAAGATCAGCAACGCACGATTAATATAAAGTAAGTTGCTTTAAAGTGTCACTCTTAGCGAAAATAATACAGTTTTTAAATGAATGTTGCTATAAGTAAATAAGTATAGTCAGAGCACTTTCTAAAGTACAGACCTTGTGTAGTTACTTACACATGGTAACCACATAAATGCAAGACTATATAAGTCCCATGACAAGTGTTAACTATTTATTAAATCCAGATATCTTGGAATTGACTTTATAAAACCAGCTAGTAATTATTTCACTGGGAAAGTAATGAATTAGTATGAAAAATGTTTTACTCTTGCTTTGAATTTGCTAATATGAGTGTGTAGATAATTATTTTTTTGTGTCATAAATGTAACCTCTTGAAGAACATTTAACACTATATTGAAATGTGTCACCCCTTGAATGGATTTCTGTTGGGTAGGCTATTTCTACATGAACAAGAAGATTGAAAGTATTTCAGAGGCGCCTGGGTGGCTCAGTCCGTAGAGCTTCTGACTGTTGATTTTGGCTCAGGTCATGATCCCAAGGTTTGTGTGATGAAGTCCTGAGTTGGGCTTCTCACTGAGTATGTAGCCTGCTTAAGATTTTCTCTCTCTCTCTCTCTCTCTCTTTCTCTCTCTCAAACTCTCTCCCTCCCTCCCTCCCTCCCCTTCTCTCTCCAACTCACACTTTCTCTCTAAAAAAAAAAAAAAAAGCATTTCTTCATGTCATGGCCAGGACATAATTATAGACTGAAACCCTAAACTCAGAATCTTCATACCTGGAGAGGATATGAATGTGAGGAGCTTTCTCCCTGACGAGGAGAGGTGCTGATAGCCTACCGAGTATTTTTGGTTTCGAGAGAGAAGGCATACCTCCAGGCTGGTAAATGATAGGGAAGAAGGCCAAACTGGCAAGCCCTAGTGTAGTGTTGGGAAACATTAAAGCCCCCAGGGCACATTAGCTGGAAAAGGGATAACTGTCAGTAGAAAAACAGGACAGAAAAACAAGCCCAAACACATTGTTGTCAGAAAGTGTATTTGGCCCTGTGGTTCACAAAAGCAGCCTAATAGATGTTCCCTTTTGAGAATATACAGTACATACCCCAACTTACTAGATTCACATTTCTTTATAGTATATTTAGTTTAATATTATCACATCATGCTACTTAGGGAAAGCTGAAGATACTCTTTTTAGAGTCTGCCAGCGAATATCTCTCTTGTTCTGAAATACACTTGGTCTGTTTTCCTGTGTTACTGATACGATGACACTGATTTTGAAATCTCTATCCCGGAAAAAAGTTTTGTTATTCTAATTTTTTTAATGTTTATTTGAGAG